GACACTTAACCCACTGAGCCACCCAGGCACCCCTAAAACTTCTCTTTAAAAGTCTATATAAATATATAAATAAACAACTTAAATTTTAAAAAAGACTTCCACCACTGATTGAATATATTGAAATATCACTCTTCCATCCACCCTCTCCCCTTTTTTAGCAAGATTAAGGTGGGACAATTTGCAGTTTAGTTGATTCCTTATGCTGAAATACAATTGAAATGCGCCTTTGACACTTTTGTTCTAATTTGTATAATCTATTATCATAGATTTTATTTATAGAAAATAATATTTGTATTATATTTCATTTCTATATAGATGCAATACAATAAAAATCAAGGTGATAGCTCAATATCTACACTGAGGAGCCAAGTAACTGAAGTAAAAAATATTATGTCCAAAAATATTGATGAAATTTTGGAAAATGAAGAAAGATTGAATATCTTCACTGATAAAACCGATGATCTCCAAACAACTGTAAGTGATGTTCACCTGTCTTGATATCCAAACAGTGTCTTAGGACTTGAGACAAATGGCCAAAAGGAAATACTGTGAGGAATACCAGGAATACTGTGAGATAATCCTATGTCACCAAACTATGGCTTTATCAAAAAATTATAGGGGCTCCTGGGTGGTTCAGTTGGTTAAGTGTCCGACTTCAGCTCAGGTCATGATCTCATGGTTTGTGAGTTCAAGCCCCGCGTCGGGCTCTGTGCTGACAGCTTGGAGCCTGGAGCCTGCTTCAGATTCTGTGTCTCCCTCTCTCTCTGCCCCTCCCCTGCTCATGCTCTGTCTCTCTCTGTCTCTCAATAATAAATAAATGTTAACAAAAATTTAAAAAAAAATTGTAAGAATGCAACTAAAGTATTAATTATAAAACAATGAAAATTTAAAACCCATTAAAGTAAGAGGTACTTATTTGCATAACAGATGTATTTCTTACATTAAAAAACACACAGATTAGTCAACAAATAAATTTCAAGGGAAAAAAAAGAGGGAGAACTTACCAAAAAATGGATTTAGAAGGTGTATCATTTCAGTGTGTGGTCTTTATTTGAAATTTGATTCAAACAAACTCTAAACATGAACATTTACAACTTCACGAATAAGTAGATATTTGAATTCTGACTGGATATTAGATGACAGTAAGAAATATTATTGGTTTTTAGATGTAATAATGGTATTATGGTTATGTTTTTAAAAAGTCACTACTTATTAGAAATACATATTAAAATATTTTGAATGAATTTATGTAATGTCTGAGATCAGCTTCAGAATAGTTCAGGAGTGGGGGAGTAGAATGAGGTATAAATGAAACAAAATTGGCCATAAGTTGATAATTGTTAAAACTAGATGTTGAGTATATAGGGTTTCATTATACCATTCTGTCAATTTTTGTATGTGTTCAAAATTTTCTATTAGAAGATAGTTTTGGGTGCACCTAGGGGGCACAGTCCATTAAGCATCCGACTCTTCATGTCAGCTCAGGTCATGATCTCACAGTTCATGAGTTCGAGCCCCACATCAGGCTCTGCATTGATGGCATGGAGCCTGCTTCTGATTCTGTGTCTTCCTCTCTCTCTGTCCCTCCCCCATTCACACTCTCTCCTTCTCAAAAATAAATTTAAAAAAAAACATTAAAAAATTTAAAAAAGAAATTAGACTATGATTAAAGTCCCTGTGTACCTTTCCCAAGCCCATTCCCCTTCCACACCAGAACCACTATCATGAATTTGATATGAATCATTTGTATGCTTGAGTCCTGATTTGTATCTGTAGGTATATATGTATCTACATTCTTAGTTTGCATTTTTAACTTTATGTTTGTGACATTATAATGTACATATAATGATTTGTTCAATGTTTAGTTCAACATTATGAACTGTATTTATTTGGACACACTTAGCTTTAATTTATCAGTTTAACTTCTGACAGCATATCATTACTATTTAAGTAAACGTAGTCGGGGGCGTCTGGGTGGCTCAGTCAAGTAAGCACTGACTCTTGATTTCAGCTCAGGTTCATAATCTCAAGTTCATGTGTTCAAGCCCCACATCCAGCTCTGCGCTGACAGTGGAGAGCCTGCTTGGGATTCTCTCTCTGCCCGTCCCCCATTCTCTCTCTCTCTCTCTCTCTCTCTCTAAATAAAATGTAAAAAACTTAAAAATACATAAACACAGTATACTTATTTTTTCTCCTTTTAATAAACATTAATGTAGATTCTAACTTTATTATGAACAATACTTCTTTGAACAACCTGTTCATATCTCTTGGTACACTTTTGCAAAACTGTTCTTTTTGTTTATTTATTTTGAGAGAGAGAGTGCACATGGGAGGGCCATAGTGTGGAGCCTGATGTGGGGCTCCAGCTCACAAGCTATGAGTCGTGACCTGAGCCAAAACCAAGTGTCAGTCACTCAACTGATTGAGTCACCTCAATCAGGTTCCCCTCAAAACTGGTTCTAAGACAGTGATCTGTAGAGTTTTTTGGTCATGCATACTTATTTGTAATTTTACAAATTTACAAGTGCATTCTTGAGAATGCATTTAGATATATATCTAAATTATATATTCTTCTATAATAACACTATAATATAAAGCATATAGGAAAGTAGTAATTAAAAGAATGGGATGAAGATGAAATAAAATATTAAATAATTTGGTTTTTTAAGAAGATTAAAACTTTCTCTCCGATTAAGAAAAATATTAATAAGAATGTTTTTAATAATAGTAATTGTGATTAAAAGTCAGATCTGATTATCATTATATTTTTATTTCTAAATATGGCAGATGAAATACTCAAACTAGAAGAGATATATCCTCTTTGCCATGTTTTTGTTGTTTATGTTTGCCTTATTGGTATAATTTTTTTAAGTTTATTTATTTATTTAAGTAATGAACTCACAACCCCAAGATCAAGAGTTGCACACTCTTCCTACTGAACCAACCAGCACCCCTTTATTGGTAGAATTTTTAAGCCACATGTGTACTTTTTAGTTTAGTTAAAACTAAATAATATTGCCCATAAATTCTCTTCCCCAGATGCATGTAAATTATAGGAATTGCAATACACTACAGGTAAATGGATAAAGGGGTAGGCAGTGGTCAATTCTTTGTCACTAGGGAATTTACACTTTACCCCTAAAAAACCTTAAGCATCCTCATGTATCATTTTACGTACACACTTAGGGAAGGTGTCAGCACCTATCCATATGTTGTACATTAATACATGTTCATTCCCTTCCTATTTTTTTGATTAAAATAAACAAAGAGAAGTTCTAAAATTAATTTCCTGCTTTCCAATGGAGCATCTCATGCAACTCCCTGGGATGCTTGATCTCATTGTAGAACCCTCACTCTGCTATATATAGAAAGAGAAATGAAATTGCTGGATCTTAAAATATGTGTATCTTTAAATTAACTAAATACTTCAAAATTCCTTAAGAAGTGTTGTGCCGTTTATACTTCCATCCGTAGTATATGAGAGTTCTGTTGCCCCACATTCTTTCTAATACTTGGGATTATGAGATTATGATTTTTAACAATCTGTAAGGGAAAGAAGATAACTATTGTCTTAATTTGTGTTTTCCTAATTTTGAATGACATTGAACAATTTTTATGTTTATTAACTATTAGAATTTGTTCTGTGAACTGCCTGTTGATATCCTTTGCCCATTTTGCTAATGTGAATCTTTATCTTTTAAAATAATTTATAGGAAATACATAAAATACTAATGTATAATAAAGGATAAAAAATGGTATACAATTCTTAGTTGTTGATACTTAGTTGTATAAAGTGTAAATATGTTCTCCCAGTATGTGGCTGGGCTTTCAGCTTTATGTAAAATACCTTTTTTAGGAAAGAAGTCTTTAACTTTCATCTAGACAAATATATCAGTCTTGTCCTTCATGGTTTATGCTTTTCTGGGTCTTGTTTAAGAACTCCTTTGAGGCGCCTGGGTGGCTCAGTGAGTATGCAACTCCTGGTTTGGGCTCAGGTCATGATCCCAGGGTCCTGGGATCAAGGCCTGCATTGGGCTTTAAGGCCTGCATTGGGCTTTACACGGAGTGTGGAGCCTGCTTGAGATTCTCTCTCTCCCTCTGCCCCTCTCCCCTGCTAGCGCTCTCTCCCTCCCTCTCTCAAAAAAAAAGAACTCCTTCCTTTCCCAAAGTTATAAAGATATTCTTACATTGTTTCCTAAAAGTTTTAAATTCTGCTTCTTAAACATGGATCTTTAAAACATCTGGAATTTTGTTTTTTGCATAGAGTATGATGTAGGAATCAAAGTTTTATAATTTTCTGTACAAAAAATCAGTTGCCCAAACACCATTTATTGAATAGCACTCAGCCTTTCCAAATTTGGTTTGTAATGCCAATTATATATATATTTACATATATACGTATATATGTATATGTATGTACATATATACGTATATATGTATATGTATGTACATATATACGTATATATGTATATGTATGTACATATATGTATATGTAAATATATATATACTCTATTCTTTTTTCTTTTTATTTAATTTATCTAAGTAATCTCCATACCCAACGTGGGGCTTGAACTCATGACCACAAGATCAAGAGCCACATGCACTTACGAGTAGGCCAGCCAGGTGCCCCTCCCTATACATATTTAATATCTACTAATCCATTTCTTTATCCTTGGACCAGTACTATACTGTTTTAATTACTGTGGTTTTATAAGAAGTCTTAATATCTTATAGTGAATGGTATTCTACTTTTTGAAAATTGTGTTAGCAAGTCTTGCTTTCTCTTTCAGTGAATTTTAGAATCTACATCTTGAGTTACACACACACACATACACACACACACACACACAATTTTAGGATGTTAGTTGGAATTACATTAATGTGGGGAGGATTGACATCTTTAAAATATTGTTTTCACATCTCTGAATGTGCTAGGTCTCCATTTTTCTAAATCTCTTTCTGACTCTGTTTTTTGATTAATAGGAACACAATCAATTTTTGCATACTAATGTATCCTAAATCTTACTGAACTTTCATGGTAATATTATCTATGGATTTCTTTGCATTTTTACATAAAAACTTTATCATATACTAAATAATGACTATATTTTTTCATCCTTTCCCATATATATTCATTTTTTAATTTTTTTTGTTTAAGTACCCTCTACACCCAACATGGGGCTCAAAAACAACCCCAACATCAAGAGTTACATGTTCCACCAAGAGCCGGGCACCCCTCTTTATTTTTGCTTGTCTTACTGTGTTATCTAGGAATGCCAGTTAAATATTGACTAGAAATGGTGATATCTGAAATACTTGTTCCCAATTTAAAATGAATATTTTTAATGCTTCCCAATTAAGTATTAAATTTACATTCAGATTTTGATAGATACTTTTTAACAACTTATAAATCTTCCTTTCTATTCTTTATTTGCTAAGAAATTTTATCATGACAGGGGGTTCAATTGTATCAAATGCTATCTTTACATTAATTGAGA